TGACCCTGTGACACACCACCTCTGGGCATACATGCTCCTGCTGAGCATGTTTCAATCCTGATCCGAATAACACATCCGTGCACTGCAGAGTACTATCTACAAGTGGAAGGATGCTCGAAAATTGAACCTTCCACAGCCTGGCAGAGATATAATATTAAGGATATCAAACAAATTTAAACACTATTTTTGACTCATTTTCTACCAAGAGTATGCCCCCATCTTTGTACTGAGAGGCTATTAAGGTCCTAAAAAACTTTTGACTAAGTACTGACTGAGAAAAAACATAGATCTCATTGCGGCTTTCACACTCTAACAAAAAGATTGTAGGAAAACCTACTTTCAAGCAGGTCACCATGCTGATTTTTTCACTATGCTACAAATACTTGTTCCAAAAACAAGACTTAAAACATTTTATTTATACTTATATACTATGAAATGATAATGTTATCATTTGATACTGCACTTACTGATTCTCTTAATGTGTTCAATGTTTTTTGTTTCTATTTTAGATGTAATACCACTGAGTTTGAAATATGCCATATAAATAAACGTCCTAAATATGCATTTACATGATATGGATTTTCTCTTTGCTCGCCTGGAGGTTTGAACCACAGCCATGCGGTGAAAACAGCTATGTTTTGTTTCTATGGTTACCTCCCCTATAGCTTGCGCCGCTATAAACAGCTGTCATCTGCAGCTTAACTGTTTCTTGCCTATTATCACAGTGATCATTAAGACAACTCATCCTATCATTATGAATGGTAAAACAAACTAAGACGTGATAGTAGCAGTCACCCCTCCGCTCCCTTTTCTGCCTCTCCATTCCTTCTTCCTCCAACTATCATTTGCTCACTTGTAACTGGTTTGCTCCTGAGCAGCTTGACGGTAACATCCCCAAAGATGTTCCTATCACATATTTGCAGAATTATTGGTGTTCATTTTTAAACGCTGAGGTGAAGTTCTGACACACACGCACACAAATAACATTCGTGAGTGCACTCTGAGGTTCCTTTTCTTTCAAATTGAGTAGAAACAAATATGAAATCTTAATAAAGCAGGCTCCTTTGCCTCCTCCAGATAAACAATTATTCTTGCGAAACTGTAGATATCCACACTGTTTGTACTGCACTCATGTACTAAGGGGCTGTCAGACACACTGGAAAAGATTAGTTTCAGTCTCATATGCAGGTGTATTTTAAGGTTGAAAGGTTCTCCCTAACTGGTGATTAGACTTTGATTAGACAAGTGGCATCAAGAGAATTGAAGGTTTGAGATTCCGACCTGAAGAAGACAAATATTGGAGCAAAAGAGAAGAGCAAAGGATATAAGAGAGTCTCCTGATTTCACTGATGATAAAGTTTGAATAATTTGAAGTATAACTAATCAGCATGAAGGGGGATTTGGAAAATATATCTGACATTTTATAAATATTTTATAAATCACTTGAATTCCATATGAAGACATCATGCAGCATCACTCAGTACATATCTTTAAATCAAAAATATTCAAAGACCTGATCAGCATCCTTCCCCTGCCTTGTGTCCTGTGTGGTTATCCAGCTTGGCTCAGGCAAGGATACAAGTTGGCAAGAGATTATGTTATCCCTTGACAATAGGATATTTAAAATATCTTAAAACGCTAAACCACAGTTGATTTAAACATAAAAAACAGTTTGAAAAAGGTATCTGAACTCTGAGCTGCATCTCAGTGCATGGAGACCTAGAGAAGTAGTCAAAAGCTGTTGGAAGAATGCAATTCAAATGCTTGTACATTTTTATATACATCCCAGGAAATAAAATAGGCCGCCACCGCTGTCGAGAGACCCAGTCTTTGGTTTCTGGCATCCATTTCCTCCAATTACGGTAAAAATGATAGACTGTATAACAGAAGTGGATAGTCATCTCGACATCACCCTTGGGTTTGTAGACTTCTGGTGTGGCAACACAGTCTCACGGCATTTCGTGTTATAGTCACGAAATGAATCTATTGATTCGTGTTCACCAACACGATTTTCCCATTTTTTTCGTGTAACACAGAACGATTTTAAAAGCAATGTAAATAATAACAAATTAGAAGGAAAAACAGATTAAAAAAAATACAGATTTCAGTATTCTGATTCTGAGGGTAAGATATTGAGTAAGAAAATGTGTTTATGAACCACACAGCTTCTGGTATTCCAAGACCCGACCTGACAAAAAGACGTGGTGCAGGCACGAAACATACTACCAATAGAAATACATTGTTTTTAAAATCGTGTGACACGAAAAAAATGCGAAAATCGTGTTGGTGAACACGAATCAATAGATTAAATTAATTTCGTGACTATAACACGAAATGGCGTGAGACTGGGTTGGGTGTGGAGGGTGGAGAGGAGTGAGACCCTGTAATGCATGTACCATTAGCAGCTACCATGCTAGCTAGCTTAGCGTAGCTTTCCTATTGACTTTTCAACAGTGAAAGAAATGCTAAAAACTAATTTTACTAACCATAAATAAATAACAGTCAACTCCTTAGAGTATCTTTAGGTACAACTTATTGCTGAAGAACAGCGTGACAGAGACACTGCATCGAACGCCGACCTTAGGCGCATTCACACCGCAGTACTTTTCCCACAAAGGTTCATGAGAACTTAGTTCATGAGAAAACTCTTTAGTTCTCATGAACTAAGTACAGATCGCGTTCACACCGGAATAAGTTCCTGGGGAAGGATTAGGCAAATGAAGCCGCTGACGTCACTTCTTCTTCTTCTGCTTTGGGTTTACTGGCAGGCCGCAAACAACTTCACGGCGTATCCTGCCACCCGAAGTCCCCGGCCGGATGTCCCCGGAGTTGGGGACTGGCTTCAGTAGAAGCTGCTGGGACTCCCAGCAGCTTCTACTGAAGCCTTCCGAGTAAATCGCCAGAACGCCGACACCTCCTCATCTCCACCCCATGTTTTATTTTGTGTTGCCATAAGTTAGTCTTTCTGCGTTTGTGCGCTGGGCTAATGCTAATAATGCTAATGCGAGGATAATAAAATGGCGGCTTCACAAAACTTTTTTTGAGTTTTACGGGGCGTGATTTGCATTCCGCCCAGCCAATCAGAGAAGAAGAATTGGGAGGGATGAAACCCCTCTTTAATGGTCACACATGCAGAGCACACAGCACACACAGTGAAATTTGTTCTCTGCTTTTAACCCATCCTAGTACCAGGAGTCTAGTACTAGGAATCAGACATAGGAACCTTTTTCTCCCACGAAAGTACCTGCTCTCTAGCAAGGGGGGTAAAAAAGGTTCTGATGAACTAATTTTAGTTCCGGCTCTTTTTGGTGTGAACGCGATATTTCGGAACTATATCGGAACTAAAGTGGGAAAAGTACTGCGGTGTGAACGCGGCTCTTGTGGTAGCAAAGCTGTGGTGGAGAGTTGTCACTGATATGTGAGCCATAAAGCATACCCTGCTTTATCATCAGTTTTACTCAAAGACTTGAATCTAGTGGTTGAAACCATACACTCTTTAAAAAATGTCACTGAGGTAATAAATCAAGTGAGAAGTAAGGACATTTTCTCATAGACTTCTATACATCGTATTGCTCCTTGCAGCCAGTTAAGGCCCTGCTGGCCATTTCAAAGAATGCTGGTTCACTACACTTTCTCATTGGTTTCACTTTTTAGACCCATGGTTTGCCAGTTGGAAAGATAAATACAATTGAAAGAGAGAAATATAATTCAAAAACAAATTGTATGTAAAGTACTTAACAACAGGAAAATGAGGAAGTGTGTATGATGAAGACCCAAAGTGATGTATGGGGGAGAGAATAAAGCATCAGTGGTTATGTAGAATATGTAGTAGCTTGACCTGGCATGGCATGGCACAGCATGGTACGGCAAGGCAGGCTCCAATGAGGTTCACCCACCCAGAGCTCCATCCTGCCTGAGCTCAACACAATCAGGCCTCAACGGCAAAAACACACTGGAGGTTACCATGACAACCCGGAGGCACTGCCTGCGTGGGACAAAGGCTGGCAGGTCCTGTGTGTGTGTGTGTGTGTGTGTGTGTGTGTGCTGTGTGTGTGCGTGTGTGTGTGTGTGTGTGTGTGTGTGTGTGTGTGTGTGTGTGTGTGTGTGTGTGTGTGTGTGTGTGTGTGTGTGTGTGTGTGTGTGTGTGAGAGAGAGAGAGAGTGATGTCTGGCATAGCGGGCGCGGCCCTCCTGGGGCCCTCATTCGTTTGTCTCTAGCTGAGACCACAGGAGCCCTGATGCAGCAGAGATGGAGGAGGAGGAGGAGGAGGTGGTTTGGGTGAGAAGAGGGGGCGAGAAAGGCAAGGGGGCAACAGAAAGAAAGGCACCTGATGTGGAAGAATAATAAGTGAAGAATAATAAGAAATAAAAATACCCAAAATTCATACATTCATAACATTTTTGGAAGGGATTATTCTGTGCCTGTTTGTCCGCTCACTCATCCATCAGTCATGTGCAATACGCTCTTGTCATACGCTTTGATCTTGACAAACTGGATTTGAAAAATAGACTCCACCGTTACACTTTGGCAAATTAATTACACCAATTAGTAGGGTACTCAACATTTCAAAGTTGTAATAACCTGTCTACCACACTGCAAGTTCAAATGACTTGAAAAGCTCTGCCTCAACAGAAAATATTAAAACATTAAGTGCACTTACTGAACGGAAATATTGAAATCTCTACATCTCTACGGTGGCCGACAGGTGCAAACACGTTACAACGGCCCAAAACATTTACATAGGAGAAACGCGAATCGTTTAAAAAACGATGCAAATAGAAAGAACAAGATAGAAAGTGAAGGTACTTCTTCATTTGCGTGTGTTTTACAACGTTTGTTTATTTAAATTTGCATTGTTTTTTAAAGTGCAGCACGTTTTTCTTAATGCAAGTGTTGTAGCAAGTTTTCCCCTTTAGGCCACTGTACATGTCAGTGTCACTATCAAGATTGTAATGTAATTATTGAGTAATTTAAAATGTTTTCTTTTCTGTCTTTTTCAGGTCTGGATCACACAAACAAGGACCTAAGGAAAAACTTTGTAAGTAAACTTAAAATATGAGAATTTATTTTTACAATAACGTCTTTCACTGAGATGTTATTTAAGCTAGGCAGTAAAACCTTATCTTATTATTCTAGTGATCTTGTTTACAGCAGATTTGCACGATGGGTATGCAGTGTAAGTTCTGATTCAGCGGTTTTTATATTAGTTTTCCAAAATAACTGCTTGGTTACACAACCATGCTCGGATTTCAATGGACCGAAATGTGTGTATTGACTTTCCCTTAAACTGCCCAACGTCTCTATTACTTAAAACCTGAGACAATAAAACGTTCATACAGTGATGAAGCTGTTTTATTCTGTTAGGCTGGTGTTACGCTGGAGCCATAAAGCATATGTGGAGTGGCAGTGCTGTTTGCGCCTGCCTTGTCATTTATAATCCTATACGCAGTTTGAAGCACACAGGCCAACTTGTACTTTGTCAGAGCAGATTGTCTGGCATGGATAAGCCTGGCTGCAGAGAGATACATAATTGCTCTTGTACGGTATCCTGCCAAGACATCCTCCTCGCGTTATGCCTATATACACTGGCAAACAAGTCATCCAAACATGCTCTCACTTTTATGAGGCTCACATAAACCACACAGTCACAGGCTTCCCCCTCAGTGACAGTGATTGCCGTCAGTCAGGAGAAAAATGGTTGACGGACTAATTCAAGTGCCAGTATCGAGAGTTTTTCAGGGGATTTCTTCCTTTCCTGTCATGTCACTCTGATGTTTTGTTTTGTCGAGGGTTTCACCGTGTTCTATTTGTTTCCCGTTTGGATTACAGGAGGCCCTCGCCAGTTTCGACCTGGCTGCTTCACACGGTCTGTCTCATGATCCCATGCCAGTTAGGGATGAGGAGAATAGGTAAAGACAGTTGTTCAAAACATGTTTTTATTTGAAAGTCAGTGAACTGACCATTTATCCTGTCTTGCCACAAAGACGCGAGACAAAGTTTAAGAACTAGATTGTATAATCTGGTCTAATGTTAGTTGCTAACATGCTACAAACTATGAAGAAATATGTTCATCAACAACCTTTTTAACTAACAAGATGATAATAAGATGGCATTGACGTCTTTAAAGACTAACTGTGGCTATGTCACCATTCAATATCGTTAGCAAAAAAAGCAGACACTAAAATGTTGTTAATTATAAACAATCTTTGCCAAAATCTCTTCTTATTTCTCGTTTCAAATAGTTTTTTTAATAATGCATTTCCTTGTCCTTTGCTCTGCACGCTGTATCAGTACTACATTGTCACCATACAATAAGAACAGTCATAAAGACTTGCAGTAACTTATTTACTTTAAAACTTGAGTTAAAGAAGACATATTATGCTTATTTTAAGGTTGATATGTGTATTTTGTGCCTCTACTGAGACATGTTTACATTCTTTAATGTTCATAAAGTGCTTTATTTTTCTCCTACATCAGGACAAAAACCACCAGACTCAGGGACAATTTCATCCCACAGGCCATAAGACTATTTAACATCTGAGCTTACACTATTTTTATATTTATTATTATTTTTTAATACATTTTTTGTATGTCTTGTAAATTGCACTGTTGAGGAACTTGCGATCTTAGTTTTTCATAGATTACATAATTACACCGTAGTGTGTATATGTTAAGACAATACATTTTTGAATCTTCTGTAAGAACAAAAAAATCAGCTGCAGAATGCTTTTTCTTGGTTTAAACGTGCTTGGTTTATGTCTGAACCAGTCATAAAATAAACATGTTCTGTATGTAATTGCAAGGTCAACACATCCGAAAACTCTGCACACATCTCTGCATATTCAGTGTCTAACATCTCATCCCTCTCTGTTGCAGTCATGGTACTCGCTGTGCAGGGGAAGTTGCCATGGAGGCCAATAACTCCTACTGCGGTGTGGGCATCGCCTTCAATGCCAGGATCGGAGGTGAGCAAACAACACAGCCTTAGCAAGACAGTGGGAGGCAGTGCATTGTGGGTGGATTGGCCATGGCTTTGACATGGCATTTTCAAAAATACTTGTTTAAGGCCCATCATTTTTTTTAAGTAGTCCCCATTGTGTGATAATGCCAAAAAGAAAAGAAAGAAAATTGAGCAACAAATGCTTAACATGAACAATATTTTAAAAATCAAACAGATTTCTCTTTTTACTTTGATGCAAAAATAATAAAGAAAATAAATAAGAAAATACAAAAGCATGAGAAAGATTTGTAAATTAACTTTCCCTCAGAAAGCAAATGAAAAAATGTGTTAAAATGTTTGGTATTGCATTGGAAATAATGTCAAAGCAAAGTGCTAGTGCCCTGTTTGTTTAGTTAGAATGTATCTTAATGTTAAAAAAAAACATATATTTTTCAATCTACTTTGAAAAAGATGCTCTGTAGCCACCTTATTCGTAGCGCTCGGACACTGCATCGATGTTTTTGTCAGGCTTAAATGGGCGTGCTTGAATCTCAATTGGGTTGGAAGAACGATAGACGCGTAAAAGCTAAAGCTATATGTCTGTTTCAAAGTCTATAAATTGAAATTTGATTTTAAGTGATCTTTACTACATTCTAAAAAGAGTATGTGATATCCTACCATTTATGTCCTGTGTATGTATGGTTTTGGGTTTGTGTGACAGACCCACGACACGGTGACTGGCTGCCATTGAGCCGTGCTGACCCTATTTAACAGCTCTTTTTTTGGTGGGAGCTCCAGTAATAGCTTTTTTAGTGTTGGCTGTAACATCGGCGATGGGATGACTGAACCGAACACACAAGACAGGCCATTTCTGTGTTGTGAAATCAAAGATTTTTATGTGATACTCTAAGAGCGCCATAAATCACAAGTTAATGAGGAGTACATCATGTGTTTGAGTAAGAAAATGTCTCGCAGCGATCTGATCTGAAGGCAGCGGCATTCACTTTGATCAGGATGTAGAAATGGTGGAATCCCCTGGTTGAACTCTGACATTTGACCTCTGGGACCTTTAGCCAGAGACTGAATCTACACAAAAAGACAGTTTGTGAGGCAAGACCAGGAATCTCTTTCCAGAGTTAGTATTAATTTCACCTTGCTGAGTCTATTCCATCCCGACTCCTAAACAGAGTCTGGCACACAGGAGATGAAGGGCCAAGACCCAAATGAAAGATGCATGCTCACTGTGAGCCTTACCTCTCGGTATGCCTCTCTTTGGGAAAGGTACCTGAGAGCCTCAGTGAATTTCTATGCTTCTGTTAGATTTGATGTTGTTTTGAAAGGAGGCGCTAAATGAACGTGCTGAATCATCTGAAGGAAAACTATTTAAGCCCGAATGAATCAGCTTGAATGGATGTATGTTTGTCACACAAAATATGCTGTCTGTTCCTTTAGAATACATTGTGATGAATGGCAAGCAGATTATAATAAGACAACTAGAAGAAGAGATATTTGTTCCTTTTGTTTTTACAATATTATCACAAGACAAACTTAAGAATCTCCTTCAGTGCAAAATCAAATGTACATTTCAAGTTTTATTTTGAAATGTGAACACTTCACAGTCATCAAAATGTATCCCATTGCTATGAAAGGTTCGTTAAAATGGCTATAATCTGTATTAGTATATTAATAATAGATCACAGGATGAGTATGAGTACATTTAAAGCGGCCCTATTATGCTTTTTGGGGTTTTCCCTTTCCGGTAGTCAGTGTGTTATATAGGTTTTTGTGCACATTGTGGTGACTCACAATCCAGCAGAAAAATCTAAATCATTATCTCTAAATAATCAAATATAATCAGTTACGCTGACCCAGACCATCAAGCTTAAACGTATCAAAAAACTAAAATCACCTAGTTTAAAATAACCCTTTATATATGCATGTTAACATCCAGCAGTGGAGTTAATGCATAACAAATAAAGTATAGCCATAAGAATCAGGCAATAACAGTGAGATCCGAGCGAAGAAGACACACACATATGAAACAAGATGAATCAGACAGATACAATAGGCACAGATAACAGACAACTGAGAAAAGACGGTAGGAGACTCTACTGCACTCTGAGCCAGCTACTCGAAGAGGGCTTACAATGTGTGTGTGACGCATTCTCGACTCAAGTATCGTGTCAAAACTCTATAACTTTTTGTTGGCATATAACATTAGCTTTACAACTTCAAAACACAATCTCTGTGTCTGTTTTGCAGAAGCACCAGGATGCTAAATGCTCTTTCGGAACATCTTTGAAAGGAATGTTTTTTGTGACCTTTTGGATCCGTCCAGGTATCCGCTTGTTGGCCGGTTCTGTCACCGATGCAATGGAGGCCACAGCCCTGACCTTCAACATGCACTTCATCGACATCTACGTCTGCAGCTGGGGCCCGCGGGACGACGGGGCCGAGATGGACGGCCCCCACAGCCTGACAGCGCGGGCCCTTCGGCTAGGAACTCACGAGGCACGGCTTTCATCTCCTCGTTCACACTGCTGTCTGTCAGACGGAGAGCAGAGCTTCACGCTGTCAGTTGGGCTGAGAGTGGAAGGAGAAAATGTCAAGTGTAGGGATTATAAAGAGGGATTTAAATACACACCTATAAGACTTTACAAAAAAAGTCCTGCAGATGTTTCAGACTAGAGAGGGATTTACGAATTATGATTATTAATCTGATTAAAATGTGGCTATATAGAAATGATCTTTTGACAAGTCTATGGGACTTCTCTCTAATTGCATGTGCTTGTAACGGCCCCTTTTATGCTTTTTGGGGTGTTCCCTTTCCTGTAGTGGGTTATATAGGTTTGTGTGCATGTAAATGGACTGCAAAGGCTCAAATTAAAAAGGTTCCATCCAGAGGGAGTTGCTAGTTCTGATAAATGTAAGTCTCTTTTTTACCTGTTTTCATCAACAGAGAAAAAAGGAACTTTCATTTTGGGTGTTTAGGTCAATTTACTTTCGATTCCATTTTCAATTTCTGCAATCTGTGCTTGTGAATTCATTGAAATAAGAAATTGTACGGCTCCCACTTTTTTTTAAATCAATTCAGAAATCTCAGGAAAACCACAAAAAAACTGAATATTATATCCTCCACTTTGTACAACCAGTACTATCCACAAAGGTTTTTGAATAAATAGGGTAAGAAGTTAGCATCAATATCATCTTTTTTCCATCAATTCTTTTTTATTTCATGTATTCCCTTTTAGTTTGAACTGCAGGTCCTATTTTTCCTCCCTATGTAAATATATACAGTGTGATATATTCATGTGTGACATTTGAAAGGCCCTGCTGACCGCTAGATGGAAACATTCTTTATGAATCCGCTTCGTGCTCTTTAACTCTGACATCCCTCTGTTTGTGTTGTCAGGGCCGGGGTGGAAAGGGCAGCGTCTTTGTGTGGGCGGCAGGTAACGGTGGGATGCAGCGCGACCACTGCGGCGCCGACGGCTATGTTAACTCCATCTACACTATAGCCATTGGCGCTGTCACTCAAACGGGGAAGCCCGCCCACTTCGGCGAGCCCTGCCCCGGTGTGATGGCCGTTACTCTGACAGGGGCCAGCGTGGGAAGCCCCCTACCTCTGGTTAGTGTGCATGTATCGCCTAACACATCTAACAACAGTGTTTATCATTAATGAGTGTGTGTATGTGTGTGTGTGCCAGCAAACCTGCTCTTTGGCTCCTGTGAGCTGCGAGAGGCCTGTTAAAGAGCAGCGACTGGTGTGATATTTATAGAGGCCTGCCAAATGACCTAGGTGACTGCTGGGCACACACACACACACACTCGCAGACACACAGAAGCAAACGAGTGTTAATTGGAGGTAAAGCGCGGCTGCAATGGCTGAGAGAAAAGAGAGAAGAAGGAGCCGAGGTGTTGATGGCAGAGGTAACAGTGAAGAACAGGAGGAAACACAGCGCTAACTCCAGGGCTACAGAAACAGAAAGGGCCATTTTTATCCGTGTGATATCACCTCTGTCTTCTGTGATGTCTGCCCTTTTCAGCCTCATATTATGAGGTGGTCACACCAGACACATGTTGCTATTGTTTTATTTAAATGATCATAACTGTTTAAGTGTAAAACATGTTCTAATTGCTGATACAGCAGGTGCTACAGTGTGGGAACTCTACTGGCCTGATTTGCTATAAAGCTGGATTCTTTAAACACTCAAATAATTCTGTTTCAGAGGAGGAGTTTGACAGAAAAGGTCACATTCACCTCTCTTTATACTCTATGTACTGATAAGAAATGAACTGGATATAGCCAGAATAGTCTTAAAACGATGTTCACATTAAATCAAGCAGCTTTGTAAATCACACTACAAAGGAAAACATTTTTTTCCAAGATTATGTATGATTTTCACAAACATCAAAAACTGAAATTAAAAGTTTCAAATCAAAGTCTGTGTAGGGTGGAGGTCGGGGTGGATAGATGGGTCATACAGGCATAGGATTTTCACCCAGAAGGGCCACTGTTCGAGTCTTCTGTTCAATTAATTTGTTTTAAGTAATGTACGAAACTTAGGTTGCATAACAAATATACGTATTTCAAGCCGAATCCAAATCTTTTTTCGAAACCTAAAGTTGGTCATGTTGCATTTTCGTTTGTTTTGTTTAAACTAACACTTTGCTTTAAGGTCATTCCTAGACTAAAATCATCACAACCACTTCCCTTTGTAAAAAAAAAGATGACACTAATACAGTAGACCCATAATATTCACTCTGGGCAACAATACTGAAAATGTATTCAATATAAAAAAAGTAAAGTATATGTATGTTTTGAGCACATGATGTACTGATGCAAGACCTTGTACATGCTTGTGTTCACATAAATAGAAACACATGAATATAATAAATGAATACTGTTATCCCTCCCCTACCTCTACTTCTATTGTTTGGTTGTTGTGTTTTGAGTTTGAGCATTGAATTGCAATTTTATTGTTATGTGTCTCTTGGAAAATATATAATAAAATCTAAATGAGACAAAATGTTGTTTTGCAAGTGAAACTCAGTAGAAAATAAGTTTCCCTCATACATAAATGAGAAGACAGTTTACAGCATCTGTCCAGGGACTACAGATAAAAACAAACCTCTTCGCTAACTGGTGTATTTACAGAAATGTCTTTTAATGTTCACAGTTGTTTTGGAATGTCAGTTTTGGAGGCAGGTATGTGTACCCCCTAACCCGTGGTGTGTGTTGTCCTGCAGGTCACAGTGACCAGCGTAGGGGGCGGTTGTGTCACACACTTTCCAGGAACATCCAGCGCTGCTCCCATCGCTGCAGGGATCCTGGCTCTTGTGTTGGAAGTAAAGTGAGTGTGTATCCGCCCATCGCACTGCACACCAGTGATTCTACAACAATAAGTGTGATACCTTATTGATTTTTGTTGGGACTCAAGAACTCTTCAGCGCTGTCTATGCTCACTGCCTGAGAGGCTTCAGTCTCAAACCCTGTTGTGTTGACTTACTGTAGATTTCTTGGCCTGGTTGTGATGATTGATTGCCTCTATTTTATTTCAATAGTGCTGTCTTTACCTATTCTCATTTCTAAAACCACACTCCCCATTTCCCCTGCTTTTTGTACAGAAAGGTTGTTGCTTTTTCACAAGACAGCTTTGTTAGAAGTCATTTTCCCATCAGCCTTTTTCTGCCTTTAATATTTCTGCTTTGTTTGTTCTGGAAGCACATTTCCCGTGTCTCTCTGCTGTAAATCAATCAATTTCCATTAACTGTTGATTATTTTCGCGATTTTCAATTCATTGTTTTCCTCATTAGATGTTTCCCAGAGCCTTAGGAGACGTCTTGAAATGAGTCTTTTGTCGTATTCAAAAACTAATTAATTCACGCATAAAATAGTCACAGAAATGCAGAAAATGACAAATAAAATGTTGTTTTTAAGAGTTGCTTTGGCGGGAAAGTGTTTTTTTTCTTTAATTTATAAAAAAATTACAAAATAGCAAAAAGCAGGCTAAAAAAAACAAAATCATCCAGTTTTTTGTTTTTTTTCCAATGTTTTGTTTAGGTTGACTGGCGCACTTTTTAGTACATAAAACTGTTATTTCCTCTTTTCATGAAATAGTGTGATGGTTTTCCGACCAACATTTTAGCATTACTGCTTACCAACATGACACAACTGAATAATGGTATTTGCATTGACTTTGGCAGATTATCTCACAATGTTGTTAAAATGTGGGATACATAAGAACCTTGCTGATGTGAGAGAGAATTTTGTATAAGTTTGCTCTACACATACTGACTTTGTCAATTGACTTGTCAAGCAACAGAGAAATAATTTCAGCCAGAAAAAACACCTCCTCCCGATCACTGCTTCTCTCTTGTTCCCTTAGTCCCTCCTTTGATGTAGATCATCTCTCGCTCCTACCCTTTCTTTCTGTGTCTAAATCTGCAGATATATCTCCTTTGCTCTTTCTTCTTCTCTCCCCTCCTTTGTCTCGACCGCCACTTCCTACCATTTCCCAAGCCCCCTTTTTTTTCCTTCATCCCTCTTAACTCGCCAGCTGTCGGTGTGGCCTCGGGCCTGGGTGTTTTGTGGCGGTATGAGCGGCGTCTACGCCTCCTTGGTGTTATGGATGGTACTAGAGGCCGGCTTTACTGCTCCAGCTGTCATGCCGCCGCGTCTCAGTCTCAGTCGCTTGGCTGTAAAATGGAGCGCGGGTCCCCTGGGCGAGGCGACTCCCAGGACATTACTGTTAAAGGCTTTGTCGTGACCCGCTGCTACTGACTAAACTATATATCACCTCTCCTGCTCACGTCGGCAGCATTCTGCTCACGTCTTTATGGAGCCGGCTTCTCGCTCCCCGTCTGTATATTGCTGTTCTTCTCTGTTTCTCACACTTGCTCATTCTGTGTCTCACTCTTCCTCCCCACATTCCACACTAACACACTCACTCATATATGCTGCCATACTCTCTCTCACTCATGTTTCCCATTCGTCAGAAACAACCTGACTCATAGCATCCGCAAGCTTCCAAACATCTGTATATACAGACACGAGGGTTCCTTTATTACACATTGTGGGATTACAATTTGTAATGCGTCTGTCAATCACTCTGTTATTTTCACCTCTGTTTTCTGCCTGGTAAAACCAAATGGCGTTTAATTAACACATCAGTTCCTTTAGTTATTTTGCATGTTATCACTACGGATTTTTTCCCCAAACAGCATATGCGCTCTAGGTAAATTCTCCGGAAGTCATGTGAAGCAGTAAAAAGAGCCATACTGGGTGGATGAACATGTCAAACAATCACACGACTTTCATCAAAGAGACCGTTGTTTGTCTTCTTTGGAAAGACCATTGACTTCTTAACTTGCATGCTAAACTTACTATACGATACAATAATACTTTAATGGTCAAATCAAGTCTGAAATTTGAACATCAACATGTACAGATATCAAGATACAATACAAGAAAAACAAACATTTAACATAACATCACAATCACTGAGAGAAACATCCTCAAAGCCTTCAGCATGCGTTTGATGGGATTTACCTCTGTATTTACTGTGAGGATTGACTGGTGCACAAAGGAGTGCTTCAGTCTGACTTCGCGGGACCCTGTCTTTCCAATTAGATGGTAGCAGTTCATATTTGGTGTTCAAACTGTTAATTACTGTTAAAAGTAATTAACAGAGGTACAGTATATGTTTTTACCCAAGCCACAATCTTTTCTCAAACCTAGTATTTTGGTTTGAATTCATTACATTACATATTATTAAGCTGACGTTTTTTTCAAAGCATCTTAGCTACGCTTCAATAGCTTAGAAATGCCTACGTGAGCAAATTGGAGTATCTTTCTCAAGGTCGCTGCAGGAGGTGGGATTGAGCTGCTGACCCCTGATTTGATGAGCTCTCTAAACTACAGCCATATTCATGTTTAAAACTGCCAACGTGCATCCTTAAGCTCCGGATTATGTTGAATACTGAACATATGTACGTTACTAACTTTCACAACAAATATAACCTATTTAACCCAAACCGTGACTTTTTCCTAACCGTAAAACACTTTCTGTTTTGAATGTAACAGTTGTGTTGCCTGAACAGAAACAAGTCATTTTGTTTATAGTTTTCTCTGTTAACCACATATTTAGAACTGCAGACAAGTCTCCATATGTAACTAAGCGATAATAAAACGTGCAGGCTTAAAATATGTAAACATGGCACACGAAAATGCCTTTAAAAGCAGCATGCAACTTAAATGCTTTCATTGAGATCACATTGATGTATTCTCATTTAATTTGTTTTAAATATTTACGTTACATTTTCGCAAAAGTGTTTTTACACCTGGGACTGTTGTCGTTTTCAAAAAAGTGCAATGCCAAAAGACAGCAAGATAAAAAAGTCTCCTAACAGCTCCACACAGATAACCTCTCATATTAATACATGAAATAAAAAGAAATGTCATATTTCCCCCACTTTTTTAGGCTTGACTGGCCATTTTCGGTACATCATCTTGTTGCTTCTTCTTCTTCAATATTTAGGATTGAAAATGTGTCTGTATGTGGGACGAAAACTAGACAATAAATAAAACGTGTAAAGCTTCAAATGCATACACATGACACACTTGATGTCCTTAAAAATGTCCTAAAACGTATACGCCTTACCAATAAACCACAATTCTATCTTCTGTTCATTTGCATTTCCTATGTTTTAAATATTTGTTAACTTATCATAGAAAACAAGTCAATCAGAAAATGCACTTAGCAGATGTTTATGAAATTGCTGTCTTGGAAAGGAATCCTTCCTGACATGATATGAAGACTTTCAGCTGGGTAGTTGATATGGCAGCATACGGTGCGGATACAGCATGGCACGGAGCCTAAATGTGCGTACGCTGTGTTGTGGTCTGTGTTATCAGGATAGCGTTCAGTGTCACTGTCTATCTGTCTCTCTGGCACTATGTTGGCTGTCTGTCTGCGTTCCCATCTGACTCAATCCATCCGTCTTGACACCTGTCCAACAAACCATCAGGGTAAATCAATTCTGCGCTCGTCCTGTTAGTCACTCTTTCTGTCTCTGACTGTTTGTTTGTTCACTTTATCACTGTGTCAGCCGCTGAGTCTGGCACTTTATGTTTCTTTCATCCATTCATTCATTCTAGTCGATCCATTTGCTCTGAGGGAGCTCAGCATTAGAGTTGACATTTTACTTTTACTTTTATCCCACCTTTCCTGCTTAGTTTATTCGGGCTGTCAGTCATCCCTACCGAAGCAGTTAAACTATATAAAAAATCTTCTAATGCCCTTTAAACCATTGGACATCAACGACATCCGGCTCTAGTGCTCCATGATTACTACATGTAAAGTGATGGAGGTCAACATGGGATATCCAAAACAAAGATACATGTCTTGTTACGGTAATAAACAGGGAGGCTGTGGCGCAGTGGACTAGTGCGTTGGTGTTCGGATCAGGGGAGCACAGGTTTAAACCCCACTGCAGTCAGCATGTCGTTGTGTCCCTGGGCAAGACACTTCACCCCAAATGGCTCCTGTGGGGGTTGTCCACAGTATTGAGTATGTAAGTCGCTTTTGATGAAAGCATCTAACAAGTAACATGTAATAGAGTGCCACAGTGACGCATCCTAAAACCCGGAAGTAAGCTTCTTCCGGTTCCCTCGACAAAAAAGCAATGCAATTTCTCCATAGGATTTTGGAAAATAGCTGGAAATAAGGTCTGTGGTTGACACACATTTATGAGACGGATCACGTTTTGTTCAGTCGGATAATCTCCACATGTCTACCCTACTTTTATAATTTTTGAATCATAAATCTAATCTATAGATTTATGATCGATAGATTTATAATGTAATGTAATACATGTTGTCAATTACATTTTTTGTATGGCCTCTGAATAATTGAAATATAAAGAAATATTACAGATTATCTTATAAAGCAGTGTTTTCTATTTGGAACTCATGGTGAGAGTGGATTTATTTTGTACTATGTCCCATACTAAACTGATAAACGATGGTATTAACTGTTATTTTAATTTAATTTATGTAAGGGCTAACTCCAAGTCTGTGCCTAAATTGTGATTTTCTTTCTAATGGCTAGCAGGGGACAACTCCACTGGTTTAAAAAATAAGTCAGATTTTGTAGAAGTCTTTGAAAGAATTACCCAACATTTCACTTTATTTATTTACCCAGAAAGCATTTTCCAAATTATTTTATGCTCCCAATAGCAAGTTTTAAGCCTTCTTTAATAAAGAATGATGTTCATTTTGTAAATGATATTCCCATTTGGAGGTAAATAGTGTTGAATAAATAGTGGTTATTCCATTTTGGATGTTGGCAGT